AACATACTATAATATACTATAACATACTATAATATACTATGATATACTATAATGTACTATAATGTACGATGATGTACTATAATGCGCAACGATGTACTATAATATACGACAATATACTATACTACAAACTATAATATACGATAATAAACGATAATATACTATAACATATCATATTATGTTATATTATAGCATGCTATCATATACTATAACAAACTATAATGTACTATAATATACTGTAATCTACTGAAAAAATACTGCAATATACTCTAGTATGCTATAAGATCCCTAAACCCTAAACCCTAAAACCCCAAGACCCTAAGCCCTAGACCCTAAACCCTAAAGCCTAAACCCTAAAATATTGGTCCGGCCTCTGAGCGCTTGGACGAGCTTCGCCCCCGGGCCGTCGCCGAGGTCGCCGGCAAGGCGAAGGCGCCTCGAAAGCTTCTTCTAAGAACCCATGGGCCCCTAGTATGGGCCCTTAACCCTGGGACCCTAATATACCTACTATATACCCTATATATACCCTTAAGGAACCCTAAAATCCCCTAAGGGCCCATGATAGGGGCCTATGGGTTCAACCTTAGACTTCTGCGGGCTCGGGGTTGCTGGGCTTAGGGCCTAGGGGTTTAGGGTTTAGGGTCTTGGGGTTTTAGGGTTAGGGTTTAGGGTTTTAGGGTTTTAGGGTTTAGGGTCTTGGGGCTTTAGGGTTTTAGGGTTTAGGGTTTAGGGTTTTAGGGTTTTAAGGTTTAGGGTCTTGGGGTTTTAGGGTTTAGGGTTTAGGGTTTAGGGTTTTCAGGTTTTAGGGTTTAGGGTCTTGGGCGGGTTTTAGGGTTTAGGGCTTAGGGTTTGGGTTTGGGCCTTCGGGTCTTGTTATTGCTAAGGGCTTGGGTGTCGGTAGGGTTTGAAAGTGTTGAGCGAAAAAAATCGTTTTGGAACCTGATTTTCGAATTTGCATTGCTGGGAGATTGGCTGGCCGCAGCGCCTGCGTGCGCCACTTTCCTTACAATCCCAGGCCACTCAAACGCCTCCTTTTACCTTCTGGAAACCGACAAGACCACTGCACCCGTGGCCAGACAATTAAAATACTGTGTGTGCTCAGGTTTGGGCTTGAAACTGTTCCGAAAATACAAAAATTGCACGGCTCAAACAAAAATCATGCAATGCAATACCATTCGAACAGGGTTTAGGGTTTAGGGTTTAGGGTTTAGGGTTTAGGGTTTAGGGTTTAGGGTTTGTTTTGATAAAACTCCGACCTGCGCTGCACGAGGCAACACCACTGCCGGGAGCAACAGCGCCTGTTGACCGACACTCGGCGCGAGGGCCCCAAAGCCTTAAGAATTTTGTGTGCCACATCATGCTTGAAGGCGCAAAAGGTTACGACATGACAAGCTCAAAAAGGCTCTGAACAAAAAGAGGTTGGAAACATCCGACATGTTCGTGTTCAGCGTTCGTATTTAAAAAACTGTTTACCTGCTTGAACTGTATCGGTCGCTTGTTCAGAAACCACGACGTCGGCGCTTTATGCAGGTCGCCGGAAACACCTGTACACATGTCAGGAAAATGAAAGACAGCGGACCAGCGGTGTTTAGCTGCTTATGACAAAAGAAAACGAGCTGTCTACGAAGTCACTGCCAGTCAAGCAAAACGTATTGAAATGATGGGCCTAGACGGGAAAGCAAGCGGTTGGCTTGCAGAAATGTTCGGACTGTAATAATCTCGAATTTCCGGTGGAAACGTTTGGTTGCGGAAGGTCTCGAAACTTTTCCTCCAAATCTAGCTCGATGGAGGTACTGGCAAGGCAGCGCCAGGAAGTCAGTAAAGACGTAGACTACTTGGAGGTTCATGGGTAGTTAAAAGTGGGATTATAAGTAGCTAAAATAATAACCCATATTTAGGGGACTTATAACTCCACTTATAACTACCCATGAACCTCCAAGTAGAGGCAAGCCAACAAAAATCAGACGAACGGCTTTAAGAAAGACTGTAGGACTCTGATTAAGAAACCCTGGGCGTTTATTAGGGGTTCTTAATATGAATCCTACTATTTTGGGATTATAGGGCCAGGGTTTCTTAATCAGGGTCCTACACTACCCAAGCCCAGAGCGTGACAGGAGCAGGCGAGCGAACCACCTCGGCACCCAAGAGAAAGTGCACGCGGCGAGTGTTCCCTCAAGTTCCCGAAGGTCGAAAGCGCCAGCCAGGGTTTAGGGTTTAGGGTTTAGGGTTCAGGTAGGGTTTAGGGTGGTTCGAAGAGCTTTCCGGCGAAGGAAGGGGCCAAAAATCTTGCATGCGTGAATTTTCCCCCGAGTTGCAAGCCGATGGATGTCAATGGCGCATCAGCGCTAGCCACCCAATACGGATCTACCAAGGCAGAATTTGCGCAGGTCGACGGCAACAGCCCCGATCGGTTCGACGAACCGTCCGGGCGCTAAGTTGTGAGCCCATGGATGTCAGCTAGGGCCCCAGAAAGCACATAAGCAAAAATTAGGATAGGGATATCCCAGAAAAAAACCCCGTATAATGAAGCCCAATAAGGTAGGGATATCCCTATAAAATTTTGGGTTCTTAATCAGTGGCACCGACCAGGGGTCGGCTTGGACGTCCGCACTTCTCCAGTTGCTTTCCAGTCGCCCCATTCGCTGTCTTCAGTGTCTGGGCACCCGGTGTTGGGTGGGAACAGCCCCAAGAGGAATTTAGGATTTATAGGGTTGAGGGTCTTGGGTTTAGGGTTCCGTGTTTATAGGGTTGAGGGTTTTGAGTTTTGGGTGTTCTGTTTGGGTTTGGGTTTGGGGTTTCGGGTCTAGGGTTTGGGCTTTGGGGCGTTAAGGTACGGGGTGGGGTACCAACAAGAGGCTAAATGGGGTACCATACGTGTTGCGTAGGGGCTTTGTGGGTTTGCGATTTTTGGATTTCGGTGTTTTGGTGTGTTCAGGGCTTATAGCTTTATGTTTCAGGATGGAACTGCCGCGTCTACCTCCAACTCAAAGCCCCAGAACCCTCCGTCAGCAAATGCTCAACGCTACGAAAGAGAAAGAACGCGCAACCCCGAAACCCTCAACGCCCCTAAAACAGCCCTTAAGCCGTAAAACCCTCAACCCCAAAACCCCCGGGCCTAAAGCCCTAAACCCTAAACCCTAAACCCTAAAACCCTAAACCCTAAACCCTAAACCAAAAAATACCCGAGATCCCACAGGCCAAGTGGCATCAAAGGCGCAGCTCCGAAAATGGGCACAAGGCAGTCGCAAGGGCCACCTCCAGGACGGGAAGGTTTAGTAGGTTTAGGGTTTAGGGTTTAGGGTTTAGGGTTTAGGGTTTAGGGTTTGGGGTTTAGGTTCAGGGAGGTGTAGGATTTGGGGGGGCGAATCTTAAACCACAAAAACAAGAGTAACAGTAATAGCAAAAATAAAAAGAAGAAGAGGTACAATAAAAATAACTGTAGCGATAGGAATAACATGAACCGCAATATATGGGGGTTTCTGAAAATACGGGACCCTAATATGGTACCCTAAATAATAGGATCCTTAATACACGGATTTTGGTACCCCTAATTTTCGAAAACTCCCATACTGTAAGCAGAACACTAGCAACTAAGGTCATGACCAGAACAACCAGGATGTCAACCCTAACCGTGTTAGGGTTTAGGACCCTAAACCCTAAACCCTAAACCTTAACCCCTAAACCCCTAAACCCCTAAACCCTGAACCCTGAACCCTAAACCCTAAACCACACTGGTTCCTGGCATCCTCCACGACCCTAATGATTTTGACTACACGCAGCAGCACCATGACTAGCATTGCTACTCCTAGGGTTTAGGGTTTAGGGTTTAGGGTTTTGTCAAAAAAATCAAACTCCAGGCACAGTGACGCTTGTCCCCGGTTGTGTCTGAAAAGTCTTTGCTGCGTCGTTGTTACAGCTGTGCTAGTCTTCGCATATTCATATCTGTAGTGGCATTCATGATGCTATTGTGACTCTAATGTACTATAATGTACAACAATATAGTAGAATATACTATAATATGCTATAATCTACTATAATATACCATAGTATACTATAACATACTATAATAACTTTTTGGTCCAGCTACAAACTGCACAGCATGGCCTAGCACTGCGACTCAACATACCGGTGCCTGCATCCAGCTCGACGTCCTCGAGCTGCCGTGCGCCGCCCTGTCAGCACTACAACTACTAGTAATAGTGTTGGTAATAGTAATGGCAAAAGTAGTGGTAATAGTAATGACCCTAAACCCTAAACCCTAAACCCTAACCTTAAACCCTAAACCCTAAACCGAGTAGTACCTGTAATCGTCAAAACCACCACACTTTTCCCCTGCTGCGGCCCTGAAGCCTGCGCTGCACTGAAAGTGCAACCCTAGTATAGCAGTTTAGTCTAGTACAATATATTGTAGTCTGACCACGCCAAAGCCGTGTGATGTCGTGCTGCTTCTTGCATTAGCACTACCGCCGCTTCCACCACCCGCCCACCACCAAACAAGAGGGCCGGAGCCATTCATCATCAGACACCAACCCCTCGTCTGCCGAAGCTGCATTCTCATCCGGATGCAATCATAACCATCACCGTTGCCAGCATCACGGCATCGGCATCAGCATCAGCCCGGCGACTGCTACAGCGCAAACACGATCATGGCAGGCCTCTTACCACGATGAGTCGAAAAGGCAACAGCTTCAGCTATAAACGAAAGCAAAGAGCAGCGAGATTGCACTAGGCAAACACCGGCACAGTTTCTGGTATGACAGCTTGACATGCGTGACACAACAAAAGCACCATGCCAACAACGCATGTCTTCTAAATCTTTGAAACGATATGAAATGCGCATTGCGCTCAGAACAGAATTGCATGTGCTAGCAGAAGTCACGTGGACCGAATCGGGGCTGACATGCACCTGCGCACTGCTTAAGCTTCGTGCCGAGTCGATCAGGCCTGTTTTCGACCCGGCAACTCTAAAAACCACTGAACCTGAATCCTAAACCTGAAGTCTGCGAGCACATTACCTGGCAATCGGACGGCAAACCCTAAACCCTAAACCCAAAGCCCTAAGCCCCAAATCCTAA